AACCGCTGACCTTAAGGTTCGCAGCCCGATTCGTAACCACTACGCTACCAATGGGGGGTGGGCCCACAAATATTATGGTACTTTGAATATGTTTATATCTTACAAAGAACTTTTCACACCTGTGCACATTAGTATAAACTTCCCTGGAGATAATGTCTAAAGTCCACCTCAGGTTGTCGATGCAGTGAGACTCTGTGATAGCCTCGTCTCTGACTGAGACTTTGAAGTACAAAATCTTCTTATTCTTTAAATAATATTTTATTGTGCTTTTGATTAAAAAATAAAGTATACACAGCAAATTGGGCTCCTATTTAACAATTTTTATACAATTTTTTCTGTGACGCTGGCTACATTTTTCATAATGTGTCAACATTCCCATTATTTCCTCTCCGTTTGTTGGGTTTCCATTAATCTAGCTTCTCTGCCTCTCCTTACCTTCTCACCTTAGCTTTAGAGTAAATGTTGACTGTTTGGGCTCCTGTAATTGATTATTTAAGGAAGCACAGTGCTCATGGGTGATACTGTTTATTTTAAGGCCAATTTATTATTTAGCTGAAAGGTGACTTCTGGGAGCGGCTTCCATTCCAGGTTCAAAGGTAGCTTAAGCTAATAGTCTCAGGGGTTCTTTTAGTCTCTATTGGTCCATTCATTTTGGTCTTTTTTAGGAATTTTAGTTCTGTTCTATGTTTTATTCCCATTCTGTCTGGGCCGTTCTGTTGTGTCCCTGGTCAGATGGTTGGTAGTGATAGCTGGTCACTATCTAGATGAGGTCGTGGTTTATATGGACTATTCTTCTTTGAGCCTTTGGTTTCCTTCATTCTCTTGTACTCCATACGAGGAGAGGCCAATAGTTATATCTTAGATGGCCACTTGAAAGCCTTTCAGACCCCAGACAATGCTATACACCAAACTAGGACAAAGACTAGAAACATGAACTATGTTATGCCAATTGACTGAGTTGTCCCATGAGACTGAAAACAAAGTCTTTTAAACTTTCCCTCAGCCCAGGGAAAACCCAGACCCCCAGATCCCAAGGTTCTTGCTTCCTTCTCAAGCAGAGAAAGGAAAAACATCTCTTTACCAGCCAAGTTATCGTACCTTCTGTCGTTGACAACAGGGAACTCCTGACCTCCAGTTCTTTTTTTCACTTGCCCCACTGTTGTTGTTGCTAAGTGCTGCTGAGTCAGTTCCGACTCATAGCGACCCTCTGTAGGGTTTCCAAGGAGCAGCTAGTAGATTTGAACTGCTAACCATGTGGTTAGCACTCCATTGTCTCCAGATGTGGACTAGAGGCTATCTTTTATTGTTGTCAGTTGCCGTTGTGTCACCTCAACTTCATGATGACCCCATGTACAAGAGAACAGGATATGGCCTAGTCTGCACCATCTCTGCTTGTGTCCACTATGGTCACCACTGTGTATGAGGAGATTTCAAAAGTGTATGGAAAAATTCCTTTATCTTTCAATTCCGTTTTCCCACCAACTTTCTGAAGCCTCTTCGTATTTTGAGTGACTTCCAGCCTAGGGGGCTCATCTTCCAGCACCATATTGGACAATGTTCTGCAGTGATCCACAGGGTTTTCACTGACTAGTTTTCAGAAGTAGATTGCCAGCCCTTTCTTTCTAGTCTTAGTTTGGAAGCTCTGCTAAAACCTGTCCACCATGAGTTACCTTGATGGCATTTGAAATACTGGTGGCATCGCTTCCAGCTTCACAGCAACAAACTGACCAAGCCATACTTTTTCCCCTGATTATCTGACCTCCTACACATCACGCATCCTCCAAAACAAGTGTCACACAATTACAGCACCCGTGGGAGTGGTGAATGACTGGTTTCTTAGCTCAGTTGAATCGCATACCAAGGAGAATTTAACAAAAATCCATAAAAGTTCAGAAACAGGGTTAGGGTAGAGGATGATACTGGTCTGAGGGATTTTAAGGATTGCAGGCTCTGCTGGGCTGTAGGCAAATGGGCGTATTTTATTATTATTTAAATGGTATATGCTGTATCTTTAAATTTTTTTCCAAAAAAATATAACCCTTCAATATTCTTTAGGAACAAGATGAGTTATAAATAAATTAGGTGAGTATGCAAATAAAATGTACTTACTCTAAAGGCTTCTTTTTCTCCCACAGAATCTCGTCAATATTTCTGGTGAAGACATAAATGTTCATATTTTACCCCCACAGACCAAATACTTTCAGATCAAGTATGTGAAAAAAGTAAGGCTACCTATCTGTTCCACCTGTTCTTTGTTGGGTTGTGTTTTCTGTGACAGCTTGAGGGGTGGGGAATATGGTGTAGCCTGCCCTCTATGTGGGCAGGGGCTTGTCCTGACCAGATCCACTTGTCTTCCAGGAACACCGCCTAGTCCCTGGCTTGTCCCTCAAGATCACCATTACGTTTTCTCCAGATGAGTGGCGTTACTATTATGATTGTATCCGCATCCACTGTAAAGTAAGTGTCTTAAACTTGGAGGGCTGAGTAGTCACAATGTAGATCTTTAAGGAGGAAGAAAGAGATGTAATGAAAAGCATGACCTTTCTAACCACAGCACCCAGGTGTTCCCCTGTTTCTGAGTTCTCTAGTGCAGCTATAACAGAAATATCCCAAGCAGATGGATGCCTTGAACTACCATCATTCAGGAGGCTAGAAGTACAAACTCTGGCTTCCAGCTCCAGGGGAAGGCTTCTTTTCTCTGTTGACTCTGGTGGGAGGTCCTTGTCATCAGTCTTCTCCTGGGTCTAGGAGTTTCTCAGTGCATGGACCCTGGATCCAAAGGACTTGCTCCATTCCAGACTTTTCTTCCTTGGTGTTAAGAGGTCCCTCCTCTCTGCTCATCTCTCTCTCCTTTTTTCTCTTGTAAGATAAAAGGTGGCACATGCCACACCCCGAGGAAACTCCTCTGTCACCTGATTAAGGGTGTTGTACCCCATTCCAATCTCCTTACAATTGATTAGTTAATCACACCAGGCATATTATGAGGGATGATTACATCATTGCAAAACTGCCAAATTACATCATTACATAACTGCCAAACCACTGAGAGTCATGACTTAGCCAAATTAACTCATATTTACACAATTAACACAATTCAATCCATAATATCCTGGTAGCCATTCTGATGGGCACCAAAAACCTGCATGGCCGAGATGTGGTATCAGAAGGTATTGGGCTCCTGAGAACTGGAGCAGAGCCAAAAGTCCCTATTTATAGTAGGTTTCCCACCTACCCTGTGCCCCAAACCTCATGTACCATGTAGGAGGTGACGTAGGATTAAATGTACTCCATCAAGAGCTGTGTGAAAAAAATTAGCAACAACCCCAAGCTGTGGTTATAAACACTGGTGACTGGATAGTGTCTTGTGTGGTCATTTCCTCAAAGGGGGCCCTGGGGACTTGTGGCGCATGGGAGCCTGTATGGCTTGACCGCAGATCACTCTAATGTTGGAGCTTTTAAGAGCGTCGTCTAAGTCACTTAGTTCTTTTTTTTTTTTTGCTTCCCCCCACCCCACCCCTCGCAACCAGAACCAACAAAAAGGAATTGTATTAGTCCTTTTTCTTAAAACTGTCAATTTTGTACCTTCCTTTGCTCTATGTTCTGGGCCCAGGCTTTACAGCTTGAGAAGCCTTAAGGTGAACTAAATTCCTTTTTTTCAAAGCTAAAATGGAAGCATGCACTTTAATGCCAAATGAGCTTCCATTGAAAAAATAAATAATAAAGCAAACTAGAATGCTGTTTGTTGTTGTTGTTGTGTGCTGTTGAGTCGGTTCCAACCCATAGCGACCCTGAATAGGGTTTCCAAGGAGCTGCTGGTGAGCTTGAACCGTCAACCTTGCAGTTCAAACAGCTTTGCAGTCTGGCACATTAACCCACAGCGCCACAAGAATGCTTTTTAGAGGAGGAGTATTCTGTACTGCGCAGAAGGAAAAAGCCCTAGGTCAAGCATTACTGCTACTTAATAGTAATACTAGTAATAATACCTCAGAGTTATACAGGACTTCTAGCTTATTAAGGCAGTCATCAGCTTTAATCACCACTCGTCTGTCAGTTTGTTGTACTGTCATGGCTTGTGTGTTGCTGTGATGCTGGAAGTTATACCACTAGTATTTTAAATACCAGCAGGATCACCCTTGGTGGACAGGTTTTAGCAGAGTTTCTAAACTAAGACAAACCAGGAAGAAGGAGAGTTGAGCTACTTCGGAATACCTAGCCACTGAAAACCTTATGAATACCAGTGGAGCATTGTCAGAGATAATACTGGAAGATGAAAGTATTATGAATAATAGCAGTTTATTGTCAGATATAGTGCCAGAAGATGAGCCTCTTATGTTGGAAGGCACTTGAAATACGACTGAGAAAGAGCTGCCTCCTCAAAGTAGAGTTGACCTGATGACGTGAATGGAATAAAGCTTTCAGGACCTTCATTTGCTAATGGGGCACAACTCAAAATGAGGAGAAGCAGCTGCTGCCATTAACGCATCCATTAGTAAGCAGAACATGGAATGTACTAAATATGAATCTAGAAAAACTGGAAGTCATCAAAAATAAAATAGAATGCATAAAGATTGATATCCTAGATATTAGTAAGCTAAAATACACTTGTCTTGGTCTTTCTAAACATGAAAATTATATGGATTAAGATCCAAGGAACGACAGATTCAAGAGGAATGGACTAGCATTCATCATCAAAAAGAACATTCCAAGATCTATCTTGAAGTACAATACTGTCTGTGATAGGATAATATTCATACACCTACAAGGAAGACCACTGATTAAGAATTGAAAAATACTTCAGTCTGGAATTGATCAAACATATAATCAAGAAGTATTGTTAATTACTGCTGAATGGATTTCAAAGATTGGAAACAGAAAGGATCAGTAGTTGGAAACTATGGCCTTGGTGATAGAAATAATGCTAGAGGTCACATGATAGAATTATGCAAGATCAATAACTTATTCATTGTAAATACCTTTTTAAAACAATGATAAAGATGGTTGTATGCATGGACATCACAAGATGTCATACACAGGAAGAGATGATGGAAAAGCTCCATATCATCAGCCAAAACAAAGCCAGGGCAGACTGTGGAACAGACTGCCAATTGATCATATACAACTTCATGCTGAAGTTGAAGAAATTTAAAGCAAGTCCACAAGAGCTAAAATATGACCTTCAACATATCCCACCTGAATTTACAGACCATTTCAAGAACAGATTTGATGCATTAGACACTAATGACCAAAGACCAGGAGGGCTATAGGATGACATCAAGAACATCATACAGGAAGAAAACAAAAGGTCATAAAAAAGACAAGAAAGAATGAAAAGACAAAAATTGATGTCAGAAGAGACTCTGAAACTTGCTATCCAATGTACAGGTGCTAAAACAACTGGAAGAAATTAAGATGTAAAAGAGCTGAACAGAAATTTTCAAAGGGCAGCTCAACAAGCAAAATCAAGTATTATAGTGAAATGTGCAAAGATCTTAAGTTGGAAAATCAAAAGAAAAGAGCACGCCTAGCATTTCTCAAGCTGCAAGAACTGATGAAATAATTTAAGCCTCAACTTGTAATATTGAAGGATTCCAGACCAAATATTGAATGATACAGAAGGCACCAAAAGAAGATGGAAGGAATACACAGAGTCACTGTACCAAAAAGAAATAGTCAATGTTGAACCATTTCAAGAGGTAGCATATGATCAAAAACTGATGGTAATGAGTGAAGAAGTCCAAATTGCACTGAAGGTAATGGTGAAAAACAAGGCTCCAGGAATTAACGGAATACAGATTGAAATCTTCCAACAAATTGCAGCACTGAAGGCACTCATCTAGGCCAACAAGTTTGTGAGACAGTTACCTGGTCAACTGATTGGAAGAGATCCATACTGTGCCCATTGCAAAAAGAGGTAACCCATCATCATATGGAAATCATCGAACAACATCATTAATAGCACATGCAAATAAAAATGGCTGCTACAGTACATTGACTGGGAACAGCTAGAAACTCAATCTGGATTCAGAAGAAGATGTGGAACTAGGGATATCATTGCTGATGTCAGATGGATCTTGGCTGAAAGCAGAGAATACCAGAAAGATGGCTACTTGTAGTTTTGTTGACTACACAAAGGCATTTGACTGTGTGGGTCATAACAAGCTCTAGATAACATTGTGAAGTATGGGTATTCCAGAACATTTGATGTGTTCTTGAGGAACCTGTACTTAGACCAAGAGGCAGTTGTTTGAACAAAGCCAGGGGATACTGACTCGTTTAAAACCAGGAAAGGCATGTGCCAAAGTTGTGTTCTTTCATCCTACTTATTCACTCTGTATGGTGAGCAAATAATCTGAGAAGCTGGATTATATGAAGAAAAGCATAACAACAGGATTGGAGGAAGACTGATTAACAGCCTGCAATATGCAAATGATACAACTTGCTTGCCAGAAACAAAGAGGGCTTAAAATACTTATTAATGACGATGAAAGACCACAGCCTCAGTATGAATTGCACCTCAATGTAAAGAAAACAAAAATCCTCACAACTGTATCAATAAATAACATCATGATAAATGGAGAAAAGATTGAAGTTGTCAAAGACTTAATTTTGCTGAAACCCACAATCAACACTACAGAAACAGCAGTCAAGAAATCAAATGACATATTGCATTAGGCACATTTGCTGTGCAACACCTCTTTAAAGTGTTTAAGAGTGAAGATGTCAGTTTGAGGTCAGATGTGCCTGACCCAAGTCATCATATTTTCAATAGCCTCATATGCATGATAAAGTCTAAGGAATGGTATAGAAGAGTTGATGCATTTGAGTTAGGGTGTTGGAGAAGAATATTTAAAGTACCATGGACTGCCAGAAGAACAAACAAATCTGTGTTGGAAGAAGGATAGCCAGGGTGGCTACTAAGACTTATTCTCAGGTAGGCCCAGTTCCTGTAGAAGGACGTTATGCTCTGTCAAGTGGAGGGTCAGCGTAAAAGAGTAAGTGTCCCAAAGAGATGGATTGGCACAGTGGTAGTAGCGATAGCCTCAAGGGTAACAACAGTTGTGAGGATGGTACATGACCTGGCAGTGATTTGTTCTGTTGTACACTGGGTCGCTATGAGTCGGAACAAAAACAATTCTGATAAACACCTGTAAGGAAAGGTGTGAGTATATCCATTTTGGAGAGGTTCAGTGTTTTTCCCAAGGTCACATTATGTGGAGACTAGAAGCCAGCCTCTTCACCCTTTTATCAATCATCATATTTTATAATATTCTGTGCTATGTGGATTTACTGATTTTATGATGATTTTTTTTTGTGTTGAGTGAATAAAGATTGTGTTTCCTTAGAATCTTCTGAAATAGAAGCAGCACACACGGTTCATGCACTAAGCTGATAAACAGAAGGTTGAAGGCTGGGGGTCCCTCAAGAGGCACCTCAGAAGAAAGTCCTGTTGACCTACTTCAGAAAAGTCCAATGCTGATGTACAGGGGTCAGCAGTAGTCAAAGATGACTCCAAAGATGACCTATTTTCCCTTAGCTTATCTGAATAGTGATAATCCTTTCACAGAAATGCTCTTAAATTTCTCTCTCCTTTTGGCTAAGAAAACTCAGTATTTCTAACGCTGAGTACTCAGACTTCCTTAAGGAAATGT